GAGTATTAGTAATTTAAATGGTACAGGATATGTTTATGCCTATATTTACATAAATATTAATACAAAACTGAAAGCATTGAAAAAACCATACCTAGTGCAATATATTCATCAACTGATTTTCCATTTAGTTCTGAAACAACTTTATTAATTTTTTCTTCATCTGCTTCAATTCCAACAGACGATAAAATTTTTTCGATATCATACTGGGTAGGAGAAGGTTTGCCTAGAGAAGCTAAAAGATAAGCGGCCACGTAACGCATGCTGAAAAATAAATAATGTTTTAATTTTGTTTCTACCTTACGTTTATAGAATTTATAATTTACATTAATTTGTTTCAGTAAAAAATTGCCATCATGGTTCTCAGTCGAAAGATGGTATAGGTATTTAGTCATCATATATACAAGTTAAATTTTTAGACACGATAATATTAATTAATAAGGAAAATAAAGTTAAAAATAACTTTAAACGAAATAAATCTAAATATAATTTTTTGTCTCATTATATTGACTCAATATTATCGAGTACTATTTTTACATTTCATACATTGTTAATTGTAATGCAAATTTAACAAAATATTACACATTTTAGTCATATATATGTACATTTTTATAAAAAAGCGATTAAACAATATTTAAGAAATAAAATCTACAAAAATGCACGAATATTTTACAGATTGCTTCAATATTGCAATAGTAGAATTGATACGTATGTTATTTAAGTGTTCATTGTATCGTAAATCATCTTGTAGTGTAACATGCTATTTTATAAATAAACTGCATTATACAGTGTATTAATATATAATATACTTATAACGCAGAATATTATTTACCATAAATTGTTTAAATATATATATTTACCTTTAAGTCTTACGACACGAAACGTGGTATACGCTCAAAATGAAAAACACGTTCGTTTCGATGCGTTGGTAAATGATAAAGAACGGAATAAGTTAAGCAAGAAAGGAAACATATTTTTGGCAACCACTAAAGCGCCATCTAATGTATGTATAAATACAACACAGGTTTTTACTTATATAATTTTAATTCGTATAATAATCTGAACTTATATAATGCAAACAATTGGTATGTAATATTTAACAAAATTTTATATGAAATGAAAATGTAATTATCGTTTATTTTTATTTTGCAAAAATTAAAT